TACAAGGAAAATGTTACTAGATGATCAAAAAAAATATAAAAAAAAGAATGTACAATGTACCAAACGGTACAGTTCCCTGTCCCGTACAGTTGAAGATAACACCAAGTCGATACTCGGTTGGTGCGGGCGGTCGAAATAAAATTAAAAGGAACGCAGGTGCTTGGTCACGTCTATCATATATATTATATTTTTAAAAATTTAAATAATTCCTAAATTAAATCTCAATTGCGCGCCGACATCTTATCAACATGACAATCGCCCAAACAATCTCTAACGAAATTTGAACTGATTAAAAAACAGCTAGTGCGCCGTGTAAACACCGGCCATATGAATAGGAATTGATAGGTATTATCGACGGGATAACAAGCGACACGTTTCGTACGCACATTCGTTTACACTAGCCAGTAACGTTCACCGAGTTACGACGCATAACTGGTGTTTTTCACCCGGTGTAACTGGGATTATTTACCCCCCTCGGTAAATATTCTCTAGAGAAATTTAACCCCCCTGTAAAATTAAACTAGAGATATTACTAGAAACTACTATTGTACCAAAACATCGAGATCCCGGGAACTTTCCCGGTGGGCCGCTGCTCAAAAATAATTTGTTATAATTATTTATTTATAATAATATCAGTATGTAGGTATAAATATAAATTATAAATATTTTGTATTTTCATATCATAACGGTTAAGTGTGAAAAATTGTTTATATTATTTTAGTGTATAAGATTTTAGATTTCGGTTCAGCTGATTGGCCAGCCCTTCGGCATAAATGCATAATCACAAATTATTATTTATAACTAGGGTGTGAATTTAAATATAAATTGCATTGTTTTCTACATTTTCTTAAACATTACTTTCCAATCAAAAAATGTATTTCATATATAAAATAATTTAAAAATGAAATTTTTCTATTAGCATTTTTTTAACTTAATTGATTTTTAGAACATTTTTTCACGTTTTTATGACATTTTTATGGTTTGAAGGAATTTTTCGTAAATTTTATAAGTATAAATACAAATTTATAAACACTATTACTTAAATTAGTTCAATAAATTCAATATAAATAAAAATCATTTTTTTTACTAATATTTCTATTTTATTACATCTTATGTTTACTCCTATGACTTCAGTTACACAAAACAATACTTGAAAATTATAACTGTCGAAGTTTCTTATTTGAAAATATTAATTAGCTTCTGATTGACCAGTGATATAATGAAACACAAAATATAACGACTATACCTATTTAAGTTCTATTTTATTTTCATTTAAATTGGCTTTTAATTTTTCTGGGCATTTTATTATTAAGCTTTGTAATATTGTAACTAGTGCATAAAATCGTATTCTTAAGGCATTTTTCTTGTTTTTCTTATTGCATTTATATCCATGCCCTATTTATAACTTAATATGACTTTATTATACCAATCGATTAATATATCCACTTCCAGCCAGCCAGTATTCACTTAATATTACCTAATACCTAATATTAAATTGTACACAATAAAAAATATAATATAATTATACCTACATAATAATAAATATAAAAATAATTTGTGATAGTTTGATAGGTATTTATAAGCTGATAACTAAAAGGTACAGTTTCGTATGTAATTTCAATGTAACGTTCTTAATTCAAAAAAGTGAATTTTTGAACTTTTTTTTTTTTATTGTAGTGTGTTGTTTGATAATTTTGTAATATTTACTTATCTATTTGTTGTTTAAAATCAGAGAGAGAGATAGTGATAGAGAGAGAGAGAGTGAGAGAGAGAGAGAGAGAGAGAGAGAGAGAGAGAAAGGATACTCTTAGAAATATCAAGTTAAAGTAGTTTAAAGAACGACCTATGTTTTTCATCCATTGTGGTTCAGTTATTGAGTATATTGGGTAATAGAAAAAGTGATACATTATAGTACGGGCATATATCAATTGCGCTGGAAATCGCAGGTAAAGAAGGAAAAATTATGGGATAGGAAAAAGGTATACATATCAACTGCACCGGTCGATATTCCAATGTTATAAATTGTGTACGTCAATTGCGCCGATCGATATTTGAATGTAATAAATGGTGTACGTTAATTACGCCGATCGATTCTTAAATATATATAAATGTCTACTATTTCTATTATAACTACATATCGGTTTTTACGTGTTTTAATCTAATACGTCTATATCATAGGTAAGTTTGAATTATATTATTTTATTACTTGAAGGTAAAACAAATTACAAAATGTGGACAAACACCATGTTAGGTTATAGGTAAATAAATAGTATTGTGCAATAAAATTCAATGCGTTGGCTATAGTGGTTGGCTCGTGCTTAAATTTATAATGGAAATTGTATTAAGTGAACGTGGTAAAGAACTAATTATTTATCAAAATTATAAATTTTCTTATAAGGAACTTACCAAAAAAGGACATAAATGGCGGTGCGCACACAAAAGTTGTAACTCTAAGCTGTACGTAGATGAGGGTAAAACTACAATTTTATTTGAAGAAATTAAACATGAACATCATCCTCCTAATAACTTCGTCAGAAAGATAAATTTGTATTTAATATATTATGTATGTTAATTATTTTTATTTAAATTTACTTTTTAATATAACTTTTTTAATACCAGCGCGATAGATGTATTCCTTTTTAATATACCGTTTTTATGCCGGTGTAATAGATGTCTACCTTTTTTATACCGGCGCAATAGATCTTACATTTAGTGATGACGAAATGGTGAGGGCTGGTCAAAATATAGATTAGTTGTCCCAGTCCACCCCTGTGTGATGGTGATTCTTGTGATAAATTTGCTTCTGGATTACCGATATGAAAATATATTAATATTTCGAAATTTAAATGAAAATTTTATTATGCTAATATCGTAGAGGCACGGTAGGTTCGGCTTAGGTGAAAGTACAACACTGCGCTTTACTATACTCGGAAACGAGCCCAATGGACAAAAAAGGTGTTTATGTTGTACTATATTATATTTGTATTCAAACGGCTAAATCCGTTAACTCTCATTATAGTCGTTCCATCCTAAGAATGCTACTCGTTCGCGCATCCAAATGACCGAGCTCCGCGGTTTCGTTCCCAAATTTCTCCCACTATACCATCTAGTGGCGGCGGCGAAAGTGACGGCGACCAGCGTTCGGGAATGTTTAGTGGTGGGAATGAGCGAGATCGGACGAATTTTGGTCGCGGCCCAGTAGAGTTCTTAGAATGGACGGACTATAAATAAAATATCGTGTACACAAACCGATCAAACTTAAAATATACCTTCAACGTTTCGACCGTGGTCTTTTTGTCTTTAATCGACTGTTCAAGGCTTATTTTTTTCTTGTACCGCATCAACATATCTTTACTGAAACGGTTACTCAACATCTTCAAAAATTCTTCTTTTCTAAATCTAAAAAATATAATTAGCCATAACGTATGGCCCATATTGGTTATAGGAAGTTCGGATAAATATTTAAAACAACATAATATTAGATTCTGAGCGGAGCGAGGGATCAAGTAGTTTTACAATGGTGTTTATTTTTCATTTTTTTTTATATCCAGTATACAAAATTTCTACCAGAAGGAGTGCTTGGATTTCAAAATATAGTATCTTATCTTTTAGCAAATTGAGCAAATTTTAGCAAATCAAGATGGTACTTTGAGAGGTAATTTTTCGATTTTCTCAATAGTTAACAATAATGTCACGGGAAAAACTACCGATAAATTACAAAAAAAACCGCTAAAAATGGGATTTTATTTTATAACGCTTTGTTTATCACGATATAAACATATAAAAATAAAAATAACGATTTTAGTTATTTTGTTGTAATTTATAATATTAATTCAACTTACAGGCTATGATAAAATATAATAACAATATAAAAAATCCTGACTGACAAACCATCTGCGTTCATAATCGTTTTTCGTATACAATGATATATCATTGAATTCAAATTTAATACAATCCATTATATAGTGACCCACCTGTAACTTACTATACAGCAGAACGACATCCATTTACCCACTATTTTTTTTATAAATTGTTTCAAGATTTTTATTGATAGTAATTATATGCATGGTCGTTTTAATACCAAGCATATGAAATGGATTGATGATGACTTTCAACTTATGGAAATACAACTCACAGCTTCCAAAATGTCCAGAGAAAAATTGTTTGTATATATTGAGGAATTAGAGAAAATCTACCAAGCCATACAAGAGGGTATGATCTCCGAAAACTGGTATAGTCAAATGCTTATTAATAAAACAAAATTAGGAAAATCCTATGAAAATAATGCATTGTTTATAGCCATTCCAAATACTCCCTGCAGACACTATGTGTTTCGTGGGAACAACTACTGATATATATAAACCGCATTATGAATAAACTAGATAACCAGATATTGAACGAAAAATCCACAGACACTGTTGAAAAAGTTATTGCTTTTCTCCGAATTCTGGCCGGCAACAAGGTAGAATTTAATAACTTTGTATAAAATATTAAGAATTTGTTTTTTAATTTCACCTCAATTTCATTATAGCGATAACATTTAAATTAATATGCGATCGTCCTCTATTACTATAACACCATACAGCCCTGAAGAATCCTTAGGGCTTATAGTGGATCTAGGATTGACAAAAGAAAATTATATGACGATGCGACTTGGCGCAAAAGTGGGAAATGTTATCCTGAAAATATAAAGAAATCTGAAAATGAAGCTATGGTACCACTGATAGATATTTAGTACATAACGCCTGGTACAGGTGAAGACCAATTTAATACTCCAGAATATTTCGGAAGGACTGTGATACTATTGAAGTTTATTATGAATGTGGAATATATGGCAGAGGTGGACATAGTATTTATATAATATGTATAAACAAAATTTCGAAAATGATTCAGAATATACCTATGGATTCCAACATAATTGTTGGTATGTATAATTGTCCCACTAAAAATTAGTGAATTAAATAAAAAGAACTTAAAAATATTTTCTAAGAACAGGGCACCGTTATTGACAAGTTATTGTTGTCCAATTAGATTCAAAATAAAAAAATAAAATGTCCAAAATGTCCAAAATGTGAAAGAAGTATATAACGAAGTACAAGCATAAATATCAGGATTGGAAACTCTCAATAATTATCATAGTCACTAAAGAAAAACAATTTAAACTTATTCCTATTTGTACGATTCTGGATGGAAAGAATGTCAACATTTTGATTGGTACATCAAGTTCGTAAGCATCCAATATTTGTAAGGCTTCTCCTAAAAATTTAAACGATACAGAAAAACTAAAGGACAGTTTGCAATAAAGACACCTTCAAATATGGTATTTAAATATTACATGACATACCTTAAATGTTTTGAATATTTACTTTATATAGCATATCAATTATAATTATGACCGTGACAAGCAAGAAGGGAACATTCAAACGAAAAAGTAAAGGAAACAAAAACCAAAACGGCAAGTTTTACAAATTAATGGGCCTCGTTTTTGATCAGCCAAAACAAGATGGAGGTAATAACAACGATGGTAACATGGCTTGAGAATTGATAACCCTTTCGAATAATTTGAATCGATGAAGATTTAATAAAAATATTTTCTAATGTACTTTCTACTAGAAACCCGCATAATGATTCACGGACATCGAAGTATCTAAGACAAACAGATATCTTGCAGATATCTGTACAACACCCATAAAAAAATTGTTGGTCAAAAGTAATTGAAATAAGATATTTTTTTTTAACTTTATGTAATTATATGGGTTTAAGTTTTTTGGGATCAATTGTTCAACGTATAACTATGTTAAACGTATAACAATCTTGTATACTATGAGACTATTATGGAATATTGGCATAGGTACCAAAATTAGATATTAAATAGGTAATACAAATATAACTACAAGTTTATTGGGATTTTGAGTACCTATAATCGTATTATCTTACAATTCTTTTTTCATCTGCTCTGTTTCTGCGATATTGATTTCTTTTGAAGCGATGAACTTCCTTTTGTTTTCTTTATTTATTTTTTCAAGATCATCCAATTCTTTCTCACGTTCCATCAAGTTAATTAACATTTCGTGTCTGTTTTTTCTCCTGAATATGTATATAATTTACCAGATATAATATACGCCATTTTTATGAGCTTTGTATCTATGATTTATATACAATTTTCAAACTAAACAATACTTCTATCACATTATATTTATACTTTTTTTTTAATAGTAATTTTGTATTTAATTTTATGCCCTAAAGCGGAATATTATAAAATAATTATTATATCACAATTTATATTTAAAATGTAATAAGCATATATAGAAGATAAACAAAATAATTTAAGAATTGCGTTGGGTGTCTACTGTTTCCCATATCCTACAGTATTTATATAAACGTTAAGAAGACGTTACACTCGTAGCTTTGTTAGTTCAAACGTGAGAGTGAACCTATTATGAAACTTGATGGTAAGGACATTATCTGTGTGTTTAGGTTATTTTTTTGACGATAATTCAGTTTTTAAGTGAGTTATGAGCATTTTCAATTTACGAAATCATAGTGGCTGAATAGGTATCTGCTAGCGTGTACCTACTTAAATTAAAAAAAAAAATTATTTTTTAAATTCCTACTCAAATATCCGGTCTTGTTTAAAATACATGTAGATATATAGAAAATAGAATTTTTTAACATGTAATTTTAAATCGACGGTCAATACCGGTCACCCTAATAATTTAGAGTGACCGGTATTGCCCGATCAGTTTTTACTGGGATTGGCCGAATATAAATAATTTTTAATTACCTACGTTGTATCTCAATAAATAAATTAACCAAGCGTTTTATAACTGCAAGCATCTTAAACTACATAACATTTAGCATATCACAGGTAAATAACTATATTAATAAGATCAAACTAAAATTTCATTATCATTATTTTCGAAGAGCAAATGTTACAAACGCAAACTTCGAAAAAACAAAAACAAATAATTAAGTTACCAGTTGTTAACATAATATGGCAGGAAAAATAATTTTAGGGTTTCATACCATGAAGACTAGAATAAGGAGACCAAACTCCGTTTCTGATAACGTCCCGAAATGAGTTGCAAGATCAAACGACCACAGGCTGCGCTGCTTACGCTAGGGTTGCTACTTTAACCCACGTAGTATAGGGATTATTTGTGTTTTTTGCGTTTTTTTGGAAAATATATGCATTACTTTGAACCATGACCCTCTTTAGATTTTATAGCTTGTACATGTTGCATAAACATATTATTCAAGAAACAAATTTGAGTGTAACAATACATACATCGGTATAAAACAATCGTTCAAGAAAACACGTATATTATGTATCGTATAGTATCGGACCCAGACTTGCTTAGAACAAAGATATATATAAAATAACTAGATATAGTGTTAATTTAGTTATTTACACAGAAATAAAAATAATATTTATGAAATATACACATATGCACATGTATAGCGTGATCATACAAGCTATAAAATCTAAAGAGGGTCATGTCATGGTTCAAAATAATGCATATATTTTCCAAAAACTCAAAATACATGAATAATCCCTATATTACGTGGGTTAAAGTAGCAACCCTAGCGTACGTAGCGTGTGGCCGTTTGATCTTGCTACTCATTTCGGTACGTTTTTTCATGTGGGCGGCCGTACGAGTTTGGTCTTCTTATTCTAGTCTTCATGTTTCATACAATAAGAAATCAGCTCACTATAAACTGATTTTTATCAATCTTGGTCTTTGAGATTACCGTATGACCGGTTTTTACCTCTAACCAGCACTTCGCCCACTCTCCCCTAAATTTCAATAAACCTACCTAAATATTATTATGTTGTATGTACTAGAGCTCGGGATTTTTAACGAGTATTAACCAACACGTGTACCCGATGCCGTGTACAGTATCTTAAACATATTAATACCCGTGTAATTAAAATCCGGGTACACGTGTTACAATTACTCTGGACTCTTGAGTCCGTGTATCTTAAATACACTTGTATTTAAATTTTGTAGTAAATAATGGAACTCGAGTCGTATGCTATCTACATGCAAAGTTTATCTACCACAATTGTTTGTTGGCGTTGTATGTTATCTACAATTTTCCACTCCAAAATCTGTAGATTGTAGATGTCATCTGGGAATTATTACATTAAAGAACTTTTTTTCATATCTTCAAAAAACTGATCAAAAAGATTCTTGGATGCATTGAGTAAACGCCCCCACTCTTCCATCAACTGCCGTTCCAATAAGTTAGTGGTACCACCTGTTTTTATGCCATATTTTACTTTGACACGACTCCAGGTAGACCCTATATATTGGGTATTACGGTTATACCTGCAATATCGGGCGCTCCCAAATTGCCTCCCGTGAATTTTTTTTTTAAAAGGTTACCCGAATTGCCTCAAGATTTCAAAAATATTATTCACTCGAATTACCTCCTAAGAGGGTCACTATTATACCTAGGGTTATGAGTATAAACTTGAAACTTTCAGCCTTCTTGAAATATTGAAAAATATATTATTTTAATTTTTTTTTTAGTTTTGTGTTTTTGTTATGTTTGACAAAATCATCACTAGATGGTCATTAATAGTAATTAATATTATATATTATTATATTATTAATATATAAATATGATACTAATATATTATATTAGCTCTATAGGCTGTAAATCATAAAATAATTTTCTTTTTTATTTGAATTCAAATAGAATTACTATAAAAGATTTTAACTCATAGATACTTATAATAGGGACTCTGGTTATAACTATATCTAATTAGTAATTATAAAATATTAAATAAACACAAATTAAGAAATTGTTATAGGTAACTTATGTGTTTTGAAACTTTGTTAAGTATGTTTATATGAAAATTATGTAATTTGTATAATGTATTAGGTATGTAAGAAATATTTCAATAACATTTCTACTCTATTTTTAAATTAAAATTATTTTTTTATTATTTTTCATAAAAATGAAATATTTCATGAAACTTTCATGAAATATCTAAAAAAATTAATTTCATGAAATTTTAGAACCCTAATATACCACTTACCTACTCTTTTACTGGAATAGCCTGCGATAGCTATAATTAATCGATTGACAAAAAAATATATCAAATATAATTTAGATGAACTATTATTCTGTTGTACAGTCAAAAACTTAAGTTTGTATAAAATAAATGTTTTAATAAATTGACTGAAACAGCAACAATAATTAATAATATTAAAAATAATAATGACAAAATATCATTCTGTTATACAATCATCAGTTATCATTAACTGATAATCACTAATTGGTCTGGGAAATATTGTAGGTAGGTATGTCTTAAACATCTTACAACTATCGATATATTAATTAATAATTAATAATCCAGGTATGTTATGGGAGGCACTACCCAAAAGGTCTACTCGAATTGCCTCCGAAAACACCCGGAGGCAATTCGAGTGTTACCGCAATATCAGTATCCGTCAAAGTTGAAACCCGAAAGGTAGATAACATATAACGTGATCAAAGTACAGGTAGATAGCATACGACGCGAGTTCTTAAATAATTGTTATATTTAAAACTTATAGGCTGCAAGTATAAATTGCATGGTTGATCTACCTATATCTTAACAATAATATACAGTTAAACGGTAAATCAAATAACCCAAATCTGTTATGACCTTATAAGTGTATAAAATATAAATATTATATAATAAATTAGACGATAACATTAAATGCGTTTAAAGTTTAATCGTGGTCTCATTACTGTGACTTATGTTTGTCTCGTTCAATTTTGTTGTAATGAATATTGTGTAATTTAAGCCTAGACTCAGGGCCGAGAGAGAATGCACCCTGCACGTGCATCCAAATGACTGCGCTCCGTCGTCTCGAAGCCACATGTCCCCCTCCATGTGGCCACTGGTCTATGGTACACACATGCAAACCTGAGCGATCTGCCCGGAAAATGTTGGGGATACGCGAAAAAAGACGAGTTTTGGTCCGCCGCCGGGTGCATTCTCTACTTGCTCAGAGTTTAGATACAGTTTTGATTGTCATTTACAAACAGAATAGTTTCGAATTTCCATCCAACGCAACGTTTACTTTAGATTATTTTAAAAACCTTCTTCTTTTCTATTTTATGTTTCATATAATATTTAAAACGAGATTATTTATTCTAAACCTGAAACTTAGAAATATTGACCACATATTTTATACACCATTAGAAAGTGCTTCTAAAATTATAATAAGGTCCACACTGCACACTTTATAAAAACTCACTGCTTTTTTTTATCTAACTAAAGAGATACTAGTCGTCATGAAATCGATAATCCTGAAATTTTCTCTACTTCAACATCCACCGTGCTTTGCACTTCTGAACCACAAATTACTGATAACAATCATCGTCAACCTAAAAAACGTCGTCGGACTTATGCCAATAGAAAAAACGATGACTTTTGTAGTTCCGAAGAAACGGAACTTATACATCGGGCACTAGCTAAAATGATGGCCATGAATCAAATACCTAAATAATTTTCCTCAAGTGCTGGGTTTGAACAATTTATGAACATAGTGAAACCTAACTATAAAATATGCAAAGAAGAAGCAATTAAAAAAAGTTTAAAATCATTGAAATTATCAATTCAAGATATAGTACAGAGCGATTTAAGAAGTGCTAACAATATAGCTTGTACGTCTGACTGTTGACCATGATTATCACAGGATAGTTATATTACGGTTACTGCACATATGATTAATGATGAGTGGTGTCCAAAGTCTTACACGCTTACAACTCATCAAATGGAGGAGTCTCATACGGCTTCAAATCTTGTACATCAATTGGACAATACTTTCGAAAAATGGGAAATTGGCCAAAAAGTAATTACAGTTGTTACTGATAATTAGGGCCCGGATTTCAATGCAAAGTGCATATTTTTTTGGTTGATCATACACAATGCTTTCTAAGTACATAATTCGTTCCATGTAACGAGGGTTTGAAATATACAAATTTATTTTGCATGTTTTAACATATTTCGATGTTTTTTTTATTTTTTAGAGCATTTTTAGCATTATTGGGTCATTATGTTGTT